CCAAAAATAACGTTTCATCGAAGAGCCACAGCCCATCACTTACAAATTGCCCATGGCTGCTTGAGACAACTATCGGTCGAGCTGAGCAGTTGTGATGGAGACTGCAAAAGGCTCGCAAGGCCTAAAGTAGTTACTGTCTGGTCCTTTAGAGGAGAGTTTGCGAACCCCTGTTCTAGCATATTCTGTGCAACACTGGGATTATACAGAATAGGACGTAGAGGTCGCTGCAACTCTCCCAGGTCTCCTTCCTTACTGAGGTGTAATGTTGAAAGACTGTTGGTCAAATTTTTCGTGTTATCTGGAGGGGTGGAAGAGGGCGCTGGCCACCTAAGGACTCTCATCGTGAGAAACAGGACACGCTCCACAATGGAAGCATCCTTGAAGCGCAGGATGCTCTGACCAGCCTTTGCAAGAAAGCACCTCTGCCGAGTCCCAGGAGCCACGGTCTTCCTGAGCCTCCCAGAGCAGTTCTGCTGCCGCCCGGCTCTGGCTGTTAGGATGAGCTTGGGCCACAGCTTCCTCCCCACCAGAGCTCTGCTCTCCACGGGCACCTGGGATCAGTCTGCCCTCCTGGACAGCTGGACAGGACAGCTCTTCAGCAACTTAGTGGGCACTCTAGAAGGGAGAGGGGGAGACGGATGGGCCTATTTGGCTGGGATACAGGTCCAGAGGGGTGGGCTGGTCCGAGTGGAAGTCTGAAAGAGCAGCCCTCCCTGCTCTGGCACCTTGGGGACAGGCTCTGACCAGCGTGAAGCAGCCACCTCCTCTCCCCAGTCTCCCCAGGCCGGCTGAGGAGGTAAACAGTGTGTAAACAGCACATGAGATTCTGCCTCCTTCCCTCCAGCTCAGATGCAAGGAAACTGGCTTCCTTTATAGGTATATACACTTCATGGGCTGGGATTCAGCCAGTGACATCAACTATTTTTAATTAGTTTTTTCAATAACGGCAAGCTCTAGTGACACCAAGGAGCAGAGAGGTGACCCGAGATTTCAAGGGACACAGGGAGCATCCTCAGTTGTTAATGACGCCTACTGAACATTGGAAGTGAAAACAGGGCTCGCACTTTTGCTGCAGCCTCACGTGGCCATCGATGGCGAATTTACATCTTGACGCCAAGGGACCCCAAGCAGACGGTCCAGATGCGGAAGCTGCCCTAAGGCAGTAGCTGGGGCGCTGCAAAGCGATGCAAACAAGGAGGGTGGTGCCCCTCTGTCTTCACCGAGCCCCCGATGCCTGCTCCGCTTCGCTGCAGATGCCCTCGCCAGGCTATCGAACTCTGCTCCCTCCTATCTTTGTGCAGCTGGATACACTATCCTTTGCATTTTTAAGTGATGTTGCCTAAAGCTCTCTAATCCAAAGATCTGCTTTTTTTAAAATAATTTAGTCTTTATACTTAAAAACATTGGCACTTTAAAGTCTGTATCTCTATCAGACTCCTCCTCCCAAAGTCTAAAAAGATGTTTCTCAGTTTACCACTCATTCAGTTACTCTGACCTGGTCAAGGTCATCCCATGATGCCAGTGAAATACCGATTATTCCACTCATTGAGCCTTTCACACCTCTGGGCCCTCTCTAGCATGCCTGCAACATGGATTGCAGTGTGATACCCACGGCCAAGACCCTGGGATCCACCTGCAGAAGCATCACAGCAGGATGATGGCCAGCAGGATGATGACAGGAGAGGAGGTGGCCTGAAGGAACAAGTGGCACACAGTGTGCACAGGGACGTACATGCAGGAGGGGACGAGGAGCGGGGTCCTGCCAGGGCAGTGCTGATACCAAACCCAAACTGACTCTCAGGACCTGGCCAGAGCCGCCCCTTCCCATCACTGCTGTCACTGAGGGCCCAACATACACAAACGTCATTGCAGTCATTTTTGTGGCATGAAGCTCCACCATCCTCTCATCAACAGGAAAATGGCACGGTGAAGAGGCAACAGAGGAGGAAGAACACGAGACTTATTGCCGGATAGTCCGATAC